GGGAGGGGGCTGCGGAGGCGCTGACTCAGCAGCGGTGGGGGCGGGGCGGCCGCGCCCGGGATGCTGCGGAGGCCTCGCCCGCGCCGAACCGGGGTCTGCGGCTGGGGAGGGGCGTGGGGCCTTGCAATGGGGATGTGGAGAGGGGACAAAGCTGGGGGGGTCGGAGACATGGGGTTAAGAGAGAGGGGTTCAGAGAGAGAGGGGTCCAGATATGGGGATCAAAGGGAGAGGGCTAGGGAGATGGAGAGTCTGGAATGGAGGTGCAGTCGTGGGGTGTAGAGATGGGGTCGAGAGATGGGGGTGCAGAAGTGGGGGACAGAGAGGTGGGAGTACAGAGATGAAGGATCAGAGAGATGGGGGTTAGTGAGATGGGGCTTAGATGGGGTACAGATATGGGGGTCAGAAGGATGGGGGTTCCAGAGAGACTGGAGTGTAAAAATGGGGTCCAGAGAGATGGGGGTCCAGATTTGGGGATCAAAGGGAGGGGCTAGTGAGATGGAGGGTCCAGAATGGAGGAGCAGTTGAGGGGGTCCGGATAGCCTGAGGTGTAGAGATGGGGTTCAGAAAGGCTGGGGTGCAGAAGTGGGGTCCAGAGAGATGAAGATCCAGAGATGGGGGTCTGAGAGATGGGGTTCAGACATGCGGTGTTTGTGAGACCGGAGTTCAAGAAAGGGGCATCGGATGATGCCGATTCTGGGAGTGCAGGGTCCGCAGCCTCACCATTCCGGAGGTGGCGGTGACCAGAGGAACTGGGGAGCGGAGGGGCCTGAGGATTTAGGGGGGGCGCCCAGGCACGGCTGGAGCTGAGGGTGCGCTCCCCCCCGTTCACAGTGCTAGGCTTACTCCCCGGAATGGGAGGGAGGCAAGACAGAGGCGTGGGGCACGGCTGAGGGCGCCCAGAGCGCTGGGCGGAGCGCGCTGGGAGGGCGTCACTTACGGCGATGACCTCTAGCCGCTGCCGGTAGAGGGAGCTCTCGGCCATCGGCCTGTGGGGAGAGGGCCCGGGCTGCGGAGGGGGTCTCCCAGGGCCCACCCCTCAGCAGGCGGACCTCAGGAACGCCCCTCTCTGAGCCAAGATCCCTGAGCTGCTTGAAAACCACTCTAAGCCCAGCATTTTCCTCTATTTCCCCTTCGCCCCTGCGAGTATTCGGGGCAGGGGGAGGGGAGGGGTCCTGTGAGGGGGAGGGTTCTACCTGTGAGGGGGAGAGAGCAGAGACCATGAGGGTTGAGCTAGTCCTTCCTAGGACTGACATCGCCTATCAGAGCCTCAGTTTCCTCATCCGTAAAATGGGCAGAGAAAGCTTGACTCTCACCTTGCAAGGAAGTATCCATGCAGGAAAAAACTTAGGACATAGTGTCCCCAAAACAGGAGCATAGTTTCTTATTAATAATACCTTTAATAATTCCCATGACTAATAATGTTTATGATTAATTATAATAACCATTCCCAGTACGTCCTACAAAAACTCTCAAGTCCTGCCATGCCCCTAACATGCTGTGTGTCTCTTTCCAATTCCACACCCTCTCTGGACCTCGGCTCCTACCCAGGATCTCTTAAGCGCTAGGGAGTGAGAGAGTCTGGGAAGAGAAGTGTCCATCCCACCAAGGACACATGCCATTGCCATGGTAAGTCCAGAGCTGCCTTCTCCACCTGTCAACCCCCCTCCCTGAGGGCAAGGGTCATCAGGTCACCAGGTCGCCAGCTGCCTAGTGCTGGACCCTGAGCTGGGAGGAGGAGGAGGAGGGGTTTGCAGTTTAAGGTTTAACCTGAGTGCCCCCCTCATTGTCCTCCTTGCAGCGTCCCGGGATCCCCGCTTCCCAGCCTATAAGGCTGCCCCCGGCCCTGTCTGGGGTTCCCCTGGAAGCTGGAGGCTGACTGCCGGACCGCAGGGCACTTAGCGGACAGTCGTCATTACATCAACCTATCATCACAGACATCATGGAGCGCTGTTTGCGAGCAGGTGCTTCACAGGCCAACGACTAGAAGGAAATATCTGCCTGCCTGTTGTCCCGACAGTCAGCCCGGGGGGGGCACACATTTGCTGACTCCAGCACTAACCCTGGTGGACAGCATGAGCCTCGCTGCCCAGACTCCGCGGGGGCCTCGCAGATCTTCCGGGCCATCGCGAAGGCGTCACCGCCAGCGCCTATTTAGCACTTACTATATATAGTGTTCTAAGTGCTCTGTGGGGCTTCCGCGGGCTCTCACCGCCTCCCCGCCTCCCCTCCCGCCCTGATCTTGAGACGCTGTCGTCCATCTTTGCTGAGTTGACATTCCAGCTGAGAACAAAATCAGCCAACCATTAGCCAGCGCACACCGCGTGCCAGGCGCGGTTAAATGCTTCACTTATAACAACCCGTGTAGTGCTCACGACGGTCCTGGGAGGCCAGGAGGGCTGCCATCCCCATTTTACAGATGGGGAAACTGAGGATCTGGGAAGTGGCGAAAGGACTTGTCTGAGGTCATGAGTCAGGATTGGACCTCAAGGCTCTCAGGCCCAAGACACTGAGAACGCTGAGGGGAAGGAGGGTCCAGGCACGCTCGTCTTGGCAGCTAGGAGGCCAGAGATCAGCCTGGGGGTCCCCAATTTCAGTTGGGGTAGGGGGCTGAGGTCCTGCTTTGCAGGGTCTCCCATAGGAAGCCCAGATCCCCTGCTAATAGGTTTGCCCCTGGGGGAGGGCTGAAGCACCTGCCTTCCGTCTCACCCCCAAGATGTAATCACCCTGCCTCTTCCTTGCTGGGGGGATCGAGTTCCCGTTACCAGGCAACCAGGTTTGTAGTTGGTGAATAATGCAACGGGGGACCCAAAAGAGTGAGGAACCAAATTGGGGTCCCTGAGGGGGGCACCCCTTTTCCAGAACTCTCCACAAACCTCTCGAACCCTGCACTGTCTTACTCTAAAGGCCCTCACACCTGTCTCAAATATTAAAATACTCTGCACACCCCATTTGACATTGTTTATCTCTGACTCTACAGAATGGCCTTCAAGGCTGTGGCCTGTCACCGCCAGGAATGGTTGGTGGCCATGTCACTAAGCGGGTGATCATTTCAATTTTGCCATCGAATTTCTCAGTTTGGGGGCTGTGAACCTTTTCTGTTGAGTCGAGAGCCTTTCCTCCCACCCTGGACACTGAGGGGGATTCTAGAGGCAGAGGGAGGAGTGAGGGACCCTGACATTCCCTGCCCCACCCCCAGCGATAGCCCCACCCCCAGGCTGGCCTTCAGGCTTGAGGACTGCCAGCAGAAAATCCACAGAAAGGGAGTGGGTGGGGGTCCACACCTCCCACCAGGCCTTCTGGGGAGGGGGCATCGAAGAGCCTGTGGGTCGGCTGCTGGCCTGCCTCCACTCCCGCGGTCCCACAGGGGCTCTCACCCCTGTGCAAAGGCCAGCGGCTCCCATGAGCTCCTATCAGGCCCTGCCCCCACGCCCCCCTTGACCCTGGGCACTTACATGGGAGTGGCTGGAGACCACATCTGGCTCTGCAGGGCCATCTCTGCCCAGAAGCCCACGTCCTGTCTCCGGCTTCAGGACCCACCACCTGCTTGTCTGAAGGTGCCCTGGAGGCTGTGACTTGGCTGGAGGGAGGGGGGGGGGCTGCGGGGCAGACACCGGGAGAGCTGGTCCAGCTGGTTTGGGCTGGGAGGCGGGAGGCGGGCGAGGGGGTTGAAGGTTGGCGGGCAGGTCTGGGGAGGGACTATCAGCTGTCCTGATGAATTATTTACCAGCTGCTGGCCTCCTGGCGCATTCGGCTGCCTCCCGCAAACACGCTCTCACACGCGTGCTCGGGTGTGTGGGCGAGGGTGGAGTCGCCGCCCCCTCCAGAGAAGGGCCCTCCACTTGGCACCCCAGACACCTCCAGTCCAGCTGCCCGCAAGGGTCACCCACATGTGGGCATCGTTGCACACCCTGGGTGCGGGGTTACTGCGTGCCTGCTCGGACCCTGGCTCTGGGGCGGGGGGAGGAGCTGATCCAGCTCCAGGATCTTGGAGGCCAGAGGCTGAGCACCACGGGCACCAGGCGACCTGGGCTCTGGATAACTGTGGGCAACTTGCCCCAGGTTTCTGGGCCTCAGTTTCCCCTTTTGTGAAATGGTAGAATGCTGGCCTAAATCCTCCCTCCCTCTTCAAGATGCTAGTTGGGGTACTGGGACCCCAGAATTCCCTACCCAAATGGTCCTGAGCTCACTGATAAGCCCTGTGTGGCCTCCTGAGGGCAGACTGTGCAGCCAGGGTGTATTCCCCCACCGGCCTGAGAAGTGGCCAAGGGCAGGTGTGGGCAGACCGGTGAGAGAAGAGCTTGGACACGTGGGCCAGGGCCCTAGGGGCGTGTACGGGGCTCCTTGCTGTGCAGGACGGAGTTGGGGGTGAGAAGCAAAGGGGGGCACGCTGAGGGCTGGGGTTTTCCTGTGCCCCATGTTCTAGGACAAATCTCCTAGGGATTCAAAATGTTTTCACTTGAACCTGGCCTTCTAGATCATTCTGCCAGGATAGGAAGAGAGAACATCTTTTTTTTATGAGTTTTTAATTGTGGTAAAATACACATAACAGAATTTACCACTAGTGAGTGGTATTTAGTACATTCACAATGTAGTGCAACCACCACCACTGTCTAATTCCAGAACATTCTCATCACTCCAAAAGGAAATTCCCTACGGATTAAGCAGTCACTCTCCATTCCTCCTCCCCCAGCCCCTGGCAATCATGAACCTGCATCTATCTCTACGGATCTACCTGTTCTGGACAATTCACATCAATGGGATCACACAACGTGTGGCCTTTTGTGTCTGGCTTCCTTCACTGAGTATGATACTTTGAGGTTCATTCATGTGGTAGCGTGTGTCAGAGCTTCCTTTCTTTTCATGGCCGAATAGTATTCCATTGAATGGATGGACCACATTGTGTTTCTCTGCTCTTCTGTTGATGGAGACTTGAGTTGTTCCTACCTTTTGGAGGAGAGAATATATTTTATTAATTGCTTGTGATTTGATTTGATAATTGTTAAATATTTAGATGCTCTTGTCCTGGGTTCCAAGTTGAGGCAATTGTTCTGTTTATAATCGTGTCTGTCTCCCAAACTCTACTGCAACTCCCAGGTCTGGGTGATTTCATGTCCCAGCATGGGCGTACGCACCTAGTGAGAATCGTTCAGTAATAATTCCTAAGCACCTGTCATGTGTCAGCCACTGTCCTAGGCATGGGGGAGTTGGATCTACACGTGAGCATGACAGACAGAAAATGCTGGAATGCAGCTCGCTTTCTAGCCTGGGGGAGACAGATAACATACAAACAAAGAAATAAAGGTGATTGGTGAAAACTGCAGTAGAGAGTGAGCTATAGAAAATAACAGGGTTGTGAAGAAGGGCTGGGTGGGATGGCGGCTGGGTGATCAGAGGCCACCTCTCTGGAGAAGTCACATTTGAGCCAAGACCCGAATAGTAGGAGCCTGCCACGTGCTGAATCATCCCAAGCAGAGCAAAGGCAGTGCAAAGGCCCCGAGGTGGGAATGCCGTTGGGGGGTTTGAGGGAAGCAGAAGGCTAGAATGGAGGAGTAATGGAGGGAGAGAATGTCAGAAGATGACATCTGAGAAGGGGGAAGGGCCTTCAGGGCCAGGGTAGGGAATTCAGAGTTTTCTTCTAAGTCTGGTTGGGAGCCATTGGAGGGTGACGAAGTGGCTGGGACGAGGGTGGAGACAAGTGGACCAACTCAGAATATGTTTTGGAGACAGAGCCAACAGATCCAACAGCAATCCAATATCCTGATGGATTGGGGGGGTGCTGAGGGAAAGAGAGAAACCGAGGCTGACTCCTAGGTTTGGGGCGTGAAAAACAGAATGGCTGAGCTGCCATACATACGTATGTACATACATACATGCAAAACTGAGCTGTGAGTTCCGTTCCACAAGTGTCCAGTTTGACATGTCTATTAGACTGGAACCTGCTGGATATGAGTCCAGAACCCAGGGGAGAAGTCAGACTAGAGAGATACACTTGGGAGACACCAGCACAGAGATGGCGTTTAAAGCATGAGATAGGAATTCATCAGGGTCTGAGTGCCGGCAGGAGAGATTGTGTTCTCAGACTGAGTAACTGATGAGAACTCAATAAAGAGTCAGTTTACAAAGGTGTGGGAGCCAGTTGAGGCATAGTGTGCCCCCTGGGTTAGCACCATCCCGGGACTGTTACCACCTCCTGGCCCTGGAGAGAGTGAGCTGTGTGGAGCCGCTGCCTGCAGTGGGGGACACAGCAACTGTGTCCAACTGAGGGAGGGGTGTGGGATAAACACCCACCCTCACCCTCCTCTCTCCCATACCCCAGCCTCAGTGGGGGCCAGAGTGAAGGAAGCAGGGATGCAGGTGAAACAGGAGTCCCAGAAGAGGCGCCTGGGAGGTGAGGGGAAAACAACCAGCCGGTGGTGTCCCCGGAGACCGAGGAGCTAATGGAGAGGCAGGCAGAGAGGAGCCAGTGACCAAGTCTGCAAATGGAGGCATGGGTGTCCTTGACCAGAGAAGGCTCAGTTCCATGGTGAGACCAAGAGCCCGGTTAGCATGGCTGGAGGAGGGACAGGAGGTGACCAAGTGGAGAGGGCACTCTTAGAAGTACAGCTTTAATCCTCATCGCCTCCAGAGCAAGTAGGCACTGCTACCCCCACGTCAGAGATGGGCACTGAGCCTTGGAGAAGGCTGGTGCCTTGCTCAGGTTATGAGTGGGATGGAACCCAGGTGGACCGGATTCCAATTAGGCCGATGGGGTCAGAGGGAGGAAGGAGGTCAGCTGGTCAGAGGCGGGAGGGCAGGAGAGAGGAGAAGGAGCGGGCGGAAGGGGTCACAGGGCAGGCAGAGAGTGGGGGAAGGAGTGACCAGATGCTTGCGTTGTTGGGGGCTCCCGAGGCTGTGCAGCTCCCACTTTCTGTAGGTAACTCTACATTTCTACCCGGACACCCCGTAAAGGTGGGAGCGGGGCAGGAGAGCAGATTTGGAGAGCCTGGGACTGGAAAATGTCCCGGGGGCGGTCGCCCGCGCGGGGACGTCGATCCCGCCCTTGACCGCCGTGATCTGGCCCCAGCTCAGGGAGCTGCTCTGTCTGTCCCGCGAGCCTGAATTCCTCTCCGGCCTTCCCAGCCGCAGGGCTCAAGGTGACCGCCTTTCAACCGCAGCCGCTCCGCTGTGTCCGTCCCTCTCTCTTCCCTCAAAGTGGGAGTGCATTTGGCCGCAGACGCCTCGCGGACTTTTCCGGGAGGGGTGAGGGGAAGCGGCCTCTGGGCTTGGCGCCGGCGGCGGCGCACGGCTCGGAACCTCGCTGAGCCCAGGCACTGGGAGGGAGACGGGGCGCGCCGTGAGGCGGCTCCTGGCTCCCCCTCCAGCCCGAGCTGTGCGCCGCAGGGCTGGAACGTGTAGCGACAGCCCAGAGGCCAGGGGCGTCGCTACTCGCCGGCTGGGACCGGCTGGGCGGGGCTGGCAAGGCCTCAGAAAGATGGCTTCGAGGGACATCCCCACCAGAGGGCCAGTGGTTCAGAGGCCCAGCCCGGCGCGCAGCTGGGGCCAAGCCTCCGGGCAATGCCGAGGAGGTGGGGCCGAAAAGGTACCAGGGTGGCGCCCAGTGAGTGGACGCGGCACCCAGACTGGCCTCCCAGGTCTAGGGAAGCCCTGTTCCGAGAAGTCTAGTGCCCTGAGCTGACCTGGGGTGCGGCAGTGGACGAAATCCGGTGCCCTGCCGGGGCGCCCCCGCCCCGAGGGCGGGGCCGGAATCCTCCCAGCAGGTGCAGGGGGCGTTGCCCGGCCCTGCCCCCGGGGGCTGTTCTTGGAGGCCAGGGGCGGGTCAGAGAAGCGGCCGGCGCAGGAGACGCCTTGGAACCCGCGGGCGGCGACTGCGGCCACAGGTGCTGCGCAGAGCACCGTGTTCCAGCTCTGGGCATCAAAACTCCGGCTCTGGGAACCAAGGCTTCCGAACTGCTCCCCACCCTGGACCCCGAGGCGCCGCGCCGGAGAGCGGAGCCCTGGGGTCGTCTGAAGCGCGGGGCCCCGAGCCCCTGGGGTCCGATAGCGAAGTCCTGGGGCCTGCCGCAGAGCAGGGCGCGGAGACCCCCGAGCAAGAGAGCGAAGTCCTCGGGCCATCAGCGGGGCAGGACGCAGAGCGGCCCGGGCCGTCCGCAGCTGGAGGCTTGGAGAGTCCTGGGCCAGGCAGCGCCGACCCTGAGCCGTCTGAGGCGCGAAGCGCGGGGGTCCTGGAGCAGTGTCCCGAGACCTCCTCCTCAGGGTCAGACTCGGGAGCCCACCAGCATTTTCCATTGCGCCCCGAGACTCCCCAGCAGTCCGCAGAGGAGCCGCTCATGGAGACGCCCATCGAGCGCGAAATCCGCCGCAGCTGCGAACGCGAGGAGAGCCTGCGCCGGAGCCGAGGCCTGAGCCCAGGCCGTGCGGGCCGCGAACTCGTCGAGCTGCGCGTGCGGCCGGTGC